AAGCTATTACAGAACTGATATTTCAGAAGGGAGCAGCATCATCACTGTTCAGTGACAATAAAATACCACTTATTATCCCTCCTGTTAAAATATTAATGGACTCATATTATTCACTTCAGAAACACCCTTAAAGGATAATGTTGCATGTTTCCCTCCACAAAGAATGAAGTCATCTTTGAGAGGACACAAATTCAAAATAACCAATAATGACAGATTTATTGCTCGAGTCAAAAAACCAAACATTAAGTGTTCAGACTCTGTTTATGCACATGGGCCTTCAATGTGCATGAGCACTGGAGTGGGGGTGGCTGCACTATTCCTGAAACCCATCAAAACCTGTGTGTTGAGCACTTGAAACCGTGGGCGTTCTGTGTTGCCTCTCTTCCATAATGTAACAGTGAGAGAGCGAATTCTATTTCTCTATGAGTTGACTGTCACTTGAAGTGGGCTCACAGGTCATGTTAGTCATTGTGATGATGAGTCATTCATGCTGCTGTGCTGGAACCAATGGGACAAGAACTCTGCGTCAGACCCAGAGTGTAATTCTATGAACACTACACTTCTAGTGTTGATTGTTGTCTTTAGCCAAAGTCTAACATACAGAGCGTTCTGTCAGTGACATTTGTATCACACAAACGATAAACCAGACGCAAATTCCACTGCTTCACTTCTTCTGGAACTATCAATCATATCACATGGTCGTCTTCGTTATATGGGTTAGATCCATTGCCAGTGAGATAGATCACTTGACAATAGTTGTATCATTGTGTATCAGCAGATCTCTGCAGATGGTGTAATGTATCTGAAAGCACCAGAAAAGGCTAATGAGTGAAACCTCAGCTTGGCGTATTTCGTCAAATCACCAGTTTCTCCAGCAACAGTCAACATCCATGCTTGACAAGCCTACATTTGGAATTAATCTTTTAATTTTAAAACACAACTCAAACATGTTCAAACAACATTCAAACACTTTAACAATTAAACACACTCTTCTAGCAAATTGCCAATAAGATCTGTATTCATTACTTTCAGTCATTACACATTCAGGCTTTGCCTTAAAAATATGTGTTATATAATCATGTTTCTTCCTGAAGTGAAACAATCTGCTTTAAAGGGATGTCTGAGAAGATAAGTTTGAAAGCTACTTTAGGCCGGAAGGAATATTTCATGATTTATAAAGTAAACACAGCAGAGTTCTATTAAGAGCTTGAGAAATCAAAGCAGGGATATAATAAGTTATGTTTAGTTGTCTCTCTTTTGTTATTGTCTTCCATCGACTTAAAGGAGAACTCTTCATCCGTTCTAAGAGTTATTACGTTTCTTAAGATGACTAGTTAGAGCTGGATTGGGGTTAGACACAGATTTTTGAGTACAGCACAGCACAGATATATTTGCAGTGAGGTGAAAATAATTTCTGTTCTTCCTATATTTATATTCTGTCGACTCCACCACTCTGGTTCATCAAACACATTAACTATGGATGATTTATTGTTAACACTTCTTCTCACAGATGGTAAATATATGTTAATACGCATTTCAAATGTAACCTTAAGTGACTCTTCATTCAATATCATTTCCTTAATTGTGTTGGTTTATGAAGAAAGGGCAAAAGAGGAAATGTAGATTCTGTAAACAAGCATTCCTGTTTACAGAAACGTCTTATCTGGGGATGTGCAGGACATTAAAAGCATCAGATGAGTTTGGGATAGGACAAGGGAAAAAGTTTTGTGACTCACTAAACCAGTAGTTACCATCATAAATATGACTTTCAAGCTATAGTGTTTAAAACAATTCAACAAAGAGGTCTTTATAAACATTAATCATTTTTTATAATGTTGTTGGGAACTCATAGTTTGTATGTGTCACAATTACAAGTCATTTACTGTTTATGTTTGTACTATTGGACAAGTGAAAATGTTTGAGGGGAGGAAAAGGAATAACCCAAACATTTTTACTGAATGCTTTTTGGATTCTCCAAGTTCCTTTTCCATAACACCTCAAATAGACAAGAATAACATTTTAAGCAGGGGCTGACTGATGGATCACTTCACTGCAGTATCCATTGTTGCTCACTTCCTGTTGTAGCTTTGCTGTGGCTTTTGCATTCTTGTTTTTTGTTAATGCACTTGTATGTCACCTGTCAGTCCACCGTACACTACTGGCTGAAGTAATTATGAAGGGAGAAAAGGAGAAAGTCATGTCATATTATTATAGAGCAACAGAGTCCTGGTCGGGGGGAGGCTGAGTAAGATGGATGGGTTGACAAAGCATTTCACTTTAAACATGGAAGAAGACTGTTTCTTTACTTTTTCACACATATATTCAATGTGGCTATTTGACAGTATTTAGCCATGTCTTAAAGCTAGGGTTGGTAATACTGGAGCAACAGCAGGAAGGACTATGATGAAAATAATAACCAATACATCCCCCAACCATTGGTCCTTTCATCAAAACTATGCCCCCAAAACACTCACTCCCTGACAACTGCTAGAATCACTTGCTAACTTCTGTGCTATCGTCTCTGCATAAAAGGTGTATGTCAGGCAGGTAGGTCGCTCAGTGACAGAAAATTATTGGTTGTGTTTATTGTCCTGCAAGGGCCCCCCAACACCGGAAGGGACAAATGTGGTCATTGAGATTGGTGGAATATTTAGCTTAGAATCTTGCTGTTGGACTGGAAAGTTGCATCTGTTTCTCAGCTTGACACTTTTCATATTATGACAGAGGTTCCCCAAAGATGTGGGTGAGGCAGTTGCAAGATAAATCTGGCCGGAGGTGGGGGTTCACAAGATGATTAATGAGAGTAGAGGGAGTCAAAACATCGCTGCTGCAAATGTGTTTTTTTTTAGAAATGTAAGATCTAAAACCGATCAGAGGAAGGAAAACAGAAGCTGCATGGTTTAAGTGCTCTCAGCTTATATGGACCACCGAGGCTGTATTTCCTGCTATGAAAGGTCACAAGCTAAAAAGTTTTGGACACTTATGTTGAATTAATATCCGCATTTAACCTTTGCTTGCAATCTTGCACTGTGGTGTCAAACAGCACATTTGAAGGTATGACAAACACTTCTATAAAGTGTAGTCGAGTCGTTTCTGTTCATCACATGGATCAATTTATATTTTGTTTAGCTGGGTGTGGGTGGGTTGGTTATCTCTGTCACCTCACGGTAAGAAGGTTCCAAGTTCAGATCCTGTTTCAGGTGTGCTCTTTCAGTGTGGATGTTACATGTTCTCCCCCATGTCTGTATTGGTTTTCTCTGGGAACTCAAGTTTCCTTACATGGTCTTAAGACATGACTATAAGTGTGAATGTAGGAGTGAATGGATGTTAGCTCTGAATGTTGGCCCTGCAATGCGATGGTGACCTGTCCATGGTGTACACCGCCTCTTGCTTCATGTCAGCTGGGATATGCTTCAGCACCCCCGCTACCCTCAGGGATAAGCATCATAGATGACTGATGAATGAATGGATGGACAGATAAGACAGTTAGCTGCTTGGTGCTGACATAAGTGCACTTAATAGAAAAAATCATTTTACTCATTTAAGAAAGAGCACCTCTATATGAGCAGGGCTTCATAAGTTCATGTGCAAGGCTTTGCATATGTGAAAATATTCCATCACAGTTTATCATCATCACACTGCAGTGGATCTAAATGACCTGGCCCTACTTCTTACAACACTAACTGCTGCACTCAGTCTGCTGTTTGGTAAGATGATCCCCAACTCCACCGCTGCTGTTACTGTAATTTGACTAAGTTGGTTTGCTAGTTAATCTTACCTGAAGGGTCCCGTCACTGCCGGCTGCACTCTTGTGTTCAGACATCTTGCTTGGGGCCAGATGACGAATCTCTGAAGACAGTGACAGCGTCTTTTATTCCTCTTGTATATAAACCCACCACTGGAGCTTCTTGACATTCAAAGTCCTTTCATAGCAGAACGTTTAGGAGCACTCACATGAATGCGTTCGAGGCAGCTGATTCACTTTGAATGGGTGATGTCATGCGTTGCCAAACTGCATTGTGGTTCTGTTAATTCTTTTGCTAGCATTGTGTGTGGTTGGAGTTAAAACCTAAACGTTTGGTGTTGCAGGGCGCTGGCTAATAAAACTGTGTTCATGCAAATACAGATTGTTTCTGATCGAACATCTGGACAGATGAGGCAGAAGCAGCAGGTGAACCTTACATGTGCCCATCTGGTTGTGGAGTTTATTTTCTGTGTAATCCCCTTCAGCAGCGCAAGGGCAGCTGAACCTGAGATTGGTTGTTGTTGTTGTGGTGATCATGCCAAGTAACGAGCACGTGCTCCGCAACAGCAACAGCTTTGTTGCTTCACAGAAAGTCGAGCACTGCATCTGATCATGGGGAACTACGACAAACAAGATACAACATATTTGAGCCATGTTGAAGAACAAAACAATCTGAGATTTCAAGAATAATGTTTTAACATTACGAGAATAAAGTCATGATTTTATGAGAATAAAGACAAAGCAAGGAGAACTCTTACTCTCCAGAGTTCCACTCATTCTGGATGAAGAATCTTACTCTTTATTGAGAAACTGTGAAACCCCCTTGAATAGTACACAGATGGAAATCAGCGATAACCCTTTTGTTGACCCCTATCAAACATATCCTCCTCCACAAAAGAGGCAACTTCCTCCAAGTCTGTGTGGCTCTTTCTTCAGAATAGACACAGTTTCTTGATCATGGCCAAAATTATCAAGTATTTGTGTAAGTAGTATTAGTGTAACCTAAGAAGTAAATATTACGACTTTAGTCTCATCCCCTAAGTGGCCCTAATACTCGTTTGTGGGAAACAACAGTGACTTTCTATATTTGTTTTCCTGCTTTTGGCATTACCAGACCAATCTGAGATTTCCAAAGGACATTATCAATGCTCGCAGACCAAAATGCATCTGAACAAAATTGAATAGAGCTGCAGCAAATCAGATTCCACTACCTTTTTACAACCCTCCAGCTTGTTTCAAATTGTCTGAATGGGAGGAGGAGGACATTTGAAAAAACTTGAGCAGACACCAAGCTCATGTTTTTTCAACTGTCCTCCTCCTCCCATTTCCAGGCTACTGGCTCTTCATCATACATTCAGCTGCGCACTTGAGATATCTGAACACAGAGGCTTTGAGCTCACTGACAGATGTTGCCATTAGTCTCCATTGTGATTTTTTACATATACTGTAAAACAGAAGAGTGCTACTCCATTATTTCCCTGATGTATTCTGCAGCTCTGTGTCTTCTGGCTAAAGAGGCGCATTCATCAAGATGCAGGCTTCTATCCCGTCTCCTGTCGGCATGACTCATATGTGTAATTAAGATTCACAGCAAGCTGGTTGGGATTCATTGATCTTGCTATTACTGATCAGTCCATAATTTGCAAAGAGCCATTTCTTTCAATCATGTTAGGCTCTCTCTCTCTCTCTCTCTCTCTCTCTCTCTCTCTCTCTCTATCTGTGTGTGTGTGGTTTTAAATCCCTGCAACAGCAGCTCAGAGAAGACTCATGAATGTCAAGCAACTTATTACTATTTGTTATACTTATCTGGTCAATACAGTACTGTTCACAGAAACGTATTCAGACTTCTATTTATAACATAGCATTACCAAAGTACTTGAAGATGTGAAAATGCCCAAGACCTGCAAAAAAAAAAATGTATGGCACTATCAAACATTTTGTTTCTACTTTATCTTTATTTGTACAGGTACATATATACACACGGTAATAAGGAGTATTAGGGCCACTTAAAAGGGAAAACACATTTTTTGAGAATGAATTAATAATATGAGAAAAAAGTCAGCCTTATTTTTTGTAAATTTACAAGAAAAAAGTAAATTTCTGAGAATAAACTAATAATATTACAAGAATAAAGTAGCAACATTACGAGAAAAGCTGGAATCATAATATTGAATAAGAATGAAGTAATAATTTTAGGCCATTTGACATATTAGAATATCAGATGGTCTGTCAAAGCCTATATCAGCATTAAAGTGTGTGTGTGAAAATAACTACACAGACTCTATTCTGGAGGAGGAAATGATTGTTTGTGGTCGACTGCAGGGCTGTCATTGGTTACATTTGTGATGGTTTAGTAAGTTTGTCAAGAAAAAACGTCTTTATTCTCATCTTATTTTGACTTTTCTTCATTGAATTACTATTTTATTCTCGTAATATTACAACTTTCTTCTCAGAAACCCAGATTTTTATATTTTTTCCCATTATGGCCCAAACACTCTGTTGTAAAAACACATTTAATGTTTTAAAAACATCCTTTTTTGGGAAGTGGCACTTGTAATTTGTATGTTTTGTTTTCCCGAATGTGTTTTTTCAGGGGGCCACATTTTCTTACATAATCTTTACAAATACAAGCAAAGAAAGTAAACTTTAAGGCTGTGGGTTATTACAATTGCAGGAAGACTCCTCAGTGTTCTGTCCCTCTCTGTGGAGAGAAACCTGGACAGACATTTCCTCATGTGATAGCAGCTCCGCTCTGCAGTTTGTCTTGGTGGCAGATGTCCTGAATAGTCGGCTCCACAAACAAGGCGCCTCTTTCCTTTCTCTCCACTTAAGGCTGAGGACTTGTGTAAATTGCTGAACATTCCAGAGAGGCTCGCTGAATGACAGACATGACAGGAAAACTTGTTTTGTCTTCATACAGCGAGAGGAACCAATTGTGAGAGAACAAATTAAGGAAGGGTCACACATTCGTAGTGTTATGTCTTGAAGAAAATGTATTTACATTGTAATGAGCAGCATAAAAAACATGATGAGAAACTGTAAATATGCGAGACGTTGCTTTGGCCAACTCCATAGACCAGGCGTTTTTTTTGGGTTTTTTTTGCAGCAGATTCATTCACACAATATCAACCTTAAGGATGAATACTGTGACAATAAGGTAAATGCTTGGTTGTTCTCTATTTCTATTGAGAACTGTTTTGCAGGTATTAGAAGAGTAGATGTATGATGATTGTGCTACATACAAATAAATGAGATGACCTATATTCTCAATCCACCTATAAGAGAACATGGAATCTGATTTGCCCCTGAAGTGCCTCTGTCCTCACAGAATTTGTCTCTGATTAAACTCAACAACACTAACAACGTGTTGGACATAGAATTGGCCCCTCTGTGTAAATGGTAGCCCCTTCATGATTTTAACAAATCATTGATCTGATGTTGCTGTAGGAAATGTATATGTAGTACTTTTGGAGACATTTTACAGTGAACTGAAAATTCCCACCTGTTGATGGCACTAAAGGAAAAGTGGGGGAGGGGTGAAGAAGCCACCAAAGTTAATAAGATAAGTCTCTGTGACTCATTCTGCACCACATTTGGTCAGAACCATCAAAATGATAACTACAAATGCATTACATTTCATGGCAGGTCCTCATACTGCACTTAGGTCAAACTAAGGTACATATGGTTTTTATTTTTTGACACATGTGAAGAGAGCAAACGAAGACTCCGACTTCAGCTCAAACAAAACACTTTCGGATGTGATCTTGCTCCTCTCATTATTGGAACTAGTGCTGATGCTGTTGGTGTCAGTTGAGCTGCTGATCTCTTCCAGGTTCCAGGACATATTTAGCAGGGAGTTAAACCCCAGCGCCTCTGGTGTCAAATCCAAGGGCACAGGAAGAATGACCGTTACTGCACACAGCGAGTGTTTATGTTTGTTGCCATGGACACAAATGCACAACATGCATTGGTTGCAAAATTGAATATAGTGCTAATTTTGTGCCGTGAAGGTATGGTTCTTCATTTTCTGTATGGACGTTTTTTGCACAAACTTGCAATATACACACAATTTGCAACATTCTCCTATAAAGTTGCATTCATACATGAGAACATTTCGGCACATGCACGGACGGAAACACACAGCTCCCATTACACACACACACAAACAGCTCTGTCACGGCTTATCCTATTCTCACTTTCTGCAATGCCTGAGCTGCACTCTTACGATACACCTGTCATCAGACCCGCCCCCCTGCATCAGCTGCCAAAAAGCTTTTGGCTTTAAATACTTCCCGGAAGCGTCTCGAGCTGAATATATACTGAGGCCGTTTTATAAATGACCTATAGAGTGACCTATAATAATGCCACTTGCTGACAGGAACTTAAAATATATTAACCTATCTATAGTTATGGAAAGATATAAAAGAATATTTCCTTATCTGGAAACAAATATAAATTAAAAGGAGAATAGGAACATCTATCCAAACTATGCATTATAATTTTTTTGCATTCATGGGTGTCAAATTCATCAGAAGGTAATTTTGCAGTATCTAAAAAGACTGACTCGTTAGCATGCATGCTACATATCTTTTAATGCACATTCTTGTTCGAGGCATTGCAATCAATATGTTTATAAGCAGCTAATATGTGATCAACTTCTATTTCTTCGTTTCTTTTCCTTTTTGCATTTGGTTTCCAGCTCTGAGAAATAATTTCTGTAACAATGATAAAGCAATGGGCTCCCCATGTGTGCCCATGTGTTTCTGGTGATACTGACACTATGTTTTGAATTGGATAACAGTCATTCTGCACCTCAACACAAACAGACAGAGACTCCACCACTGCAACACTATCCCCCTGATAGATAATAAGATCTGTGCTGAATGTCTGATCACCTACTCTCTCTCTGGCTCAACCAATCCTCCACTGACAAAAGAATCCAGGTCAAAATACTTCTCACTAGTGCCGCAGCTCTCAGTAACATGTCCTCTTCTTTCCTTAGAGCTCGTCTCTATCTGCAGGCTCATATTAACTGACTCTAACCTGCTCCCAGCACCAGGCATTAGACCTGTGGAGAC